CCCCAAAACCCCAAAACCCCAAAACCCCAAAACCCCAAAACCCCTCAGGACGATTATAGAATTGAATTTAAGGTAAAATGATACTAGTGTTTATTCAGGGATTCCTCAAGTGCAGTAATCTGCTTCCTTCGAGATTTGAGAATCATGATGCCCTTCAATATTCTCTGAAGCTTCGCTATTCTCCCATTGGGCTCCTTTTCAAGTTCAGTAAAATTTGGAAAGATAGTAATCAGCCGCCTTTTTAAACTTGAGGAGGAACTCTTCTTTACTCTAAACAATTTATATGGAAACCTTACATTATAGTTCTTCTTCATGATGGCGTATTTGATTCTTGAGAGGCAGATGTCTTCTCTTGTATATCTCCTCTATTTTCGAGATTAGATTATGGAAGAATTGATAGGGACGTTTAAGATATCTCAAGTTTAGGTGCTTACGTTTCTATAGTTTGTGAACCATACTCTGATTTGTTTCTAGCTTAGGCCAGTCTGTCTTTGCAGTTCTTGGATATCCTCGAGTTCTGGATATGGACAGTCCTCGTGGTCTTCCATCCACTTTTTAAGAAGCTTCCTGTTCTCCCGGTTATTTTATCTTATCTCTCCCTTTCGTTTTGGATGGGAGCTTAGTGAATGCCTAGGGTAAGATAAAAGAGGTACATACGAAGCTAGAGCATTGGATAATCAAATCTGTTGTTAACTAATTTCAGGGATACTAGTAAGTTCTTCCTACGATCTGACAAAATCCTCCAACAAAAATAATCAAAAATTAAAAATACTAAACTATCTATTTTGAGTGCAGGAGCATTAGTATTATACAAAGCAGCCGGGTCTACTAAAGCTAGAAAAAATAGCAAGGAAACTTAGCAATAATTATTATTAAATTTTGTCATTTTCAAGGAAACAATGAAACCTTTGAACTTGAAAATCGTGAATTAAACGAGAAGACACGCTTAAGGTGCATATATAGCTTCATAATTAATAGAACGATACTCGTCGAAAAATTAAAAGGTGGCTAACCATAATATCTCATTTAGCTTAGGACGAAGATCCTCGATGATGCATAATTCTTATCGTAGCTTGTTTTAAAAGCATTTATAAGCCTTACACTTTGGGAATGACTCTTATGTCCTATCTTTATGTCTGTGCTAACTCCAAATGCTTCCAGAGGCTTAATCTGGTCACATTTTTGACTTTCTCCAATTTGGTTGTCCATGTTCAAAATTTAATTAATTTATATAAAGAAACAAATGAGATGATATATAGTTTTTCCATTATTACCCATCCTTGTCGAGTCCTTAGTTTTGTCCAGAAAAGCACATAAATCATAAAATTTAGTATGGAAAACTCTAAAAATTATAAATTTAACTCTAAACCCGCCAGTTGGAGGACACGAAGAGTTAATAATAATCCGAGGCTTAAAATTAAAGGCAGTAATTCATCGATAAATTCTTAATAAAGATGGGTAGACTTTCAAATGAACTGCCTGACTTATGGGCCAATTCACACTTTTAAGCTCTCTCCAATGTCTAAATCCCTCTGAAACCTTCAGGTTCTCAGTAACAAGCTCTGCTTCTTGATAGGACAGAGTAATAAAGTTTTATTTTTCTATGCTAATTCTCGTTTGCTTTGTTTCTAAACTTGAAATTGGTTAAAATTTTAAGAAATTTTATTATCTCATTGGTAGTACTAGGGACTAGAATCAACTAAAAAGGCAAAATCTGGCACCTAGATCAGCTTAAAATTGTAGCTAAATATTTATAGGCCTGAAGACTAAAGGCTGCCTGTATTAGAGGCTATAATTTGTTTTATTCATCAAGAATCTGAGTTGAGAAATATATACAGAGCGGTGAGAAAAGGAATGTTCGCGATTTAAATCAATTTTTTAAGAGAATAAAGAAAATTAAGTTTGGACTTTAGACACTTATTTTGGGAGTTCATTTAACCTCCTTGTTAGTCTAAGGCTTGGGAGAGTAAGAGATAAACTTTTCTGTTAAGGCTCTTCTGAAGGTCCGATGAGCAAGAAATGAGTATTCATAAAAAGCAAAGGACACTTTTACGGCTAGAAAGAGAAAGTCTCCTAAATACTGATATATAGGCAGTCCATCAAGGCAAATGGTAGGCAAATACTCTTTAAATGCAGACGACCCCGAAGTAAGCTCGTACTCAATGTGCTATTAATCCTTCTTTGTTTTACCACTTAAAGCCTCAAAAAGAGTCTTATCTACGTCCAAATATGCTCGAGCGAAACCTGATTTGCCCCTTCAAGAGGTTGAAGCAGAAATTGGCTGTCTTAAGGCTTATCTTGAGAATTTTGAAATTTTCGGAATTTTTAGGTCTGAGATAACCGCAAACTTACTTTTTGGGATGGAGAGATTTAAGTCAAGCTGAAAGTTTAAAAATTGAATAAATTGGGGGTTTAGGTAAAGTCTGGCAAGAGAAGGAGATATAATAAGTTTGAGAGGAAAGTGCGTGCTAAAGAGATACTTCAATTTGGATGACGTATTGAGGGGTTTTGGGGTTTTGGGGTTTTGGGG